GAATACTCGAGGCCTTAGACAAAAATTTTAGATGGGGAATAATTTATTTTGAAATGAATAATTTGATTATTTTTTGTTTTTAATTTCAAATATTTAAATTTATATTTGGTCTCTTTGGGTAACTCAACACACACACTCTCTCTCTCTCTCTCTCTCTCTCTCGGTTGGGTCAATGAAGAGGCATTACCAAGTTGGGTGAGTGAATAATTGTATTTATGGGCAGTGTAGATGATGATGAGGGGTACTCAATTGAGTTTAATGAATGCTTGATATCTATGGACTATGGCCATGCATATCTTTTGACTCGCTCACTGACATTCATTTATGGAAACAAACCATAGCCACTTGAATTATGAATAATAAATAAAAAAAACAGCCCTTTTTAATAAAGGGTGAGTACTCCAAATGGCTGCAAAAAGTGCGTGAATTTATTTAAGAGGGTTGAAGCCTTACTCTAGAGAGAGAGAGAGAGAGAGAGAGAGAGAGAGAGAGAGAGAGAGAGAGAGAGAGAGTTATTATTAGGATTTTGCCACCGTTGATAGTCTCTGGCGAAAGTTATAACTCAAGAGATTTGCACCCTCTGACAAATTAATCTTTCTTGCACGTAAGGGAAGGTCCCTTGTTGCCCAATGTTGGATTGAGTGGGCCACACTTTAGGAAACAAAGGGGACCCGTGGTTGTTTGGACTATTGATTTGCTTATGAGCAAAAAACACGTATCAAATCAATTAGAACATTTTATACAAATCTCAAATTGGGGATTGCTAGGCATTGACCAGATTTCATATTTGATCCTTGAGTTTTATATTTAGTTTTAATTTGGTACTTAAACTTTCAATTATTTCAATTTAATCTCTCAATTATCAATTTTGTCTCAGTTAAGTCATTTCATCAATTTTTACTGTTAGATCAAACATAAACATATGATTTAACAATAGAAATTAATAAGATAGGATTAGTCTTCATTTGATCTAATGATAAAAATAGACAAAAGAACTTAATTGAAACGAAATTCATAATAAAATGACTAAATTAAGACAATTGAAAATTCAGAAATCAAATTAAAACTGAATACAAAATTCAGGGATTAATTATAATTTTTACCCTGAATAAATAATGGACCAAGTTGAAATGTAACTATTGGACCACCAAGTTCAAGTTATATCAATATACTAATGGGTCTTTGGTCCAATGGTATTTTTTGTCTTATAAAGACTTTGTCTTCTTAAAATTAAGAGTTCAAGTACCCCTCCTCCTTCCCCTTCCCCTTCCCTAAAAAAAAAATATGGTTATAATGTGGACCATTTTTTCACTATAACATTTTGTATGGAATGAAATTAAACAGCAAAATTTTATTTCGATGTATGATTTTCAATCAACTTGGAAATGCAAATATTTCGATAAAAATTTATTTGTGAAGTATTTCAAAAAGTTGATCAAAACATAATAAAAAATGCTGAAACATATGACTTTTGGCAATCAGAAACTCATTCGTTTCGATTTCTACCAAAAAAAAATATTTCAACTGTTTTGAATGTTTCTAAATGAAACTTAATTACTAAAATCAAATTCTCTGAAAAGACATAGATATTAATAATGAAATATGGATTGGATTTTTCTCATCAATTACTTTAAGACAAGATTTGTCACATGATTATTGAGAATGAAGAGAATCTAAGTACTGGGAGCCTTGATGTTTAACGTTAATGCACTCATAAAATCCCATGAGCTTCCCCAAATTATCAAAAGAAACCCAGTTTCCATTATTCCAAAGTCATCCCTAATCCACCCAAAAAAGCTTTACCTTAGAATGCGAAGCACGTGAAGCTCCCACAGCTCATGAATAACAACACCCATTTCAGAATCAACAACTTAAACTTCAAATTATATCCAGCTGGATTAGATTAGCTGGTCGAATTTCGGAAATGACAATAATATTCTCAATCGAAAATATTTTTTTTTCAACAGTCAGGAGTATTCGGGTCATTTTATTTGTATCTCGATTAATCTCCTTCCCGGTTTACTCAAAGCTAGATAATCTACGCCGAGACTAGGAAATTCATGAGGGATAAATCCTTCATGACCAGGTCTCAAGAGATTGCAAAGATTCGAACTTAGAAATCTTTGAGAAAACTATGAGTGTTTGTTTTTTTTTTTTTTTTGACAATTCTGCTTATAATTTCTATTAAACATGGATACTTCATCAAGATTAAAATATCCGCATTTGATACCCATAAAATAAAAATTTGTCTCAATTACGTTCAAACCAAACCCAAAGCTGAGAACAAGATCGAAAGCACAAATTCTCATTGGAAGCACAAAAGTGGTCATAGTATTTACTTTGTTTTATAAAAAAAAAATATTTTTTTGAATTCGTCAAGGATAGAGGATCAAAACATTGAGGATAATTATAATTAAAAAAAAAAATCGGCTATTGAAATAAATAGTTGAAGTTGATAAATGAAGTATTCTTCTCAAATATAGTTCTAACCTCAAAATAGCTAATCTATGTAGTATATTACTTACTAAACATGGTCTTCTTATAGACTGTCATTGCTTTCAAAATAGCAAATCTGTATCCATGTTTTTGGGTCTGTAATTAGTTCATTTACCCCTCCATTAAAAAAAAAAGGTTTATTTAGGCATATTCTCACTATTTCCAGAATTTTAGACCAAACAAAAAATTCAAAAAAAAATTATTTTAGTTAATAGTTAGCAGGCAATTTAATTTTACTATATAACACTATTTTCCCTTGAATGCACAAAGAATCCCCTTAACGGCTACCTTCTGTTCCTTTTGCAAAAAATGCCCTTGTCGTATGGTAAACATGATATCTCTTTTAAGAAAATTAAATGATTTGCTAGCTATATACTTAATTACAACAAGAGTGATGGATAAGCAGTACAAGTAACGTTGTGTTTGATATGCGATAATATTTTTATATGGTAATGAAATAAATGTGAGAATTGAATGAACTTAGTAATGTGTAGAATGTACCTTATCATTCTAATGTTCACCAACAACTTTGATAAATTCTGAAATATAATTAAAAATATATTCAAATATTTGGATAAATGAACATTTTTTACTAAAATGAATAAAATATGATTGAGATACCCATGATGATATTAAAATAATATAGCTAATTTTCCCAACCTCGAATTTTAAGATTGGGACTCGTTCTAGACCCAACTCAGACCCTAGACCAAGATCAAAACCTAGTCGTAGAGTCGAATGCAAAGCAGACCTGTACATGAAGCGGCCTTGGACCTTGACTCAGATCTTGAGGAACCTTGATTCAACCTTAGTCCCAAGCTTGGATCCACTCGATCAGCTCCAAAACCTCGATCCCACCCTTGCACTGAGATCCGAACACGATCCTAACCTCGGACTTGACCTTAAACTCAAACCCGAACCAAAATTTGGACTCATCATAGGATCCGCATGCCAAACCTTAGGCCTAGACTTGTAGTCGAACCTTGGACTTGGACTCAGAATCAGACATACCCTCGACCCTACTCTTAAACCCTGGACATAGATCTTTGGCCCCAACCTTATCCTAATTGACCTCGTACCTCTGGTCGTGCCTTGGATCCAAACCTAGACCCTAGTCCCAACCTCGAATCGAACCTTAACTCAAGCCCCGATCCTAGTCCAAGACCTAACCCTAACCTAAGATCTGAACCTTGGACCCAAACCTGACCCTAAACATTGGTCCCAACCTTGACCCTAGTCTCGATCACGCAAACTCGATCAAGTTCTTAGGGTTGGCTTGATGACATAGCCATGAGCTTCCCTTTCTCTCACCAAACATGGCTAGCTTCATTGATCAATCAATTTACCTAATGGCTTTACATGTAGGCAAAAACGCCCACTATTAACTGCTACAAATAAAGTCAGAGAATCTGTAATAATAGCTCAAATAGGAAAGTTTCGACAAAATAATATCTTGAGATATAAGTAAGATTCGGTTAATTTGTTGCACGTGATTTCTTAATAATCACATACATCCAACATTTAAAATGCTTCCATAAATTGTAAATACGCGTGATTAGAATAACTTGTCGGTATAAGAAAAAAACAAAACCATAGACAAAATCAAAAGAAACAAACTATATCAAACATTAATGTCCTAAAAATCACATTGGCAAATCAATCATCTAATCAGTGAATAGAAAATTTTTTTTATCAAATTCAGTTATTTTAAATATTATAATCCTGTTCTAGCCAATAAGTGTGTGACATGGGAAAGAATTTTTTATTACTATTTTATGTTATTTACCAATATTATTATTTTAATATAATGAATTATTTTTATTACAAATAGTTATCAATGAATCAATTCAATATCTATAATCAAAAATTATTTTTTTTGGTATAAATTGAAAAGTGTTTTTTAATACTATAGATTTATCCAAAGTAGAGATACAAAAGGGCCAAGAATAGAAAAGGGTAAGATTGGTAGATTCATCTACTATCCACAAAACAAACAAAAGCGAATCCATGATGTGCGTATGGAGGTTATGATGGGCTGAGTTGGTTCGAACCAATCCGAACTATGATTGCGAATCTTCGGACGGCCGAGCCCACCATCATTTGAAACTCTAGCAAAATACCCCAAATACCCTCTTCAATGCCCAAACTGACCTTGATATAAAAGTTATATACCCAAAATGCCCCTGACTGCACACTCATCATTCACATGACTTCATCCCCCCAAAACTCATCATCATCATCATAGTAGAAGAAGAACATTAAATCCTTTGCCTATAGAAGCCGCCTTCCATGCTTACACATCCATGATTGCTTTGCCAGAGAGAAGCATGACACCCACCCCACCCCCACCCCCATCCCCACCCCTCCCCTCCCCTCCCTCTCCCTCTCCCTCCTATTTTTTTCACTATATATATGGACCGGTCCTTACGTTCATCTTGCCCCCTCACTTCTCTCCAAATCTTCTCTCCTTTTTGTACTGCAAAGGAGAAACTCTTCTTACACAACCAAAGCTTCCTTGGCCAGAGCTGCTTCTTCTTAACCAAACTTCCAAAAGGTGATCTTTTTCGAAAAGCTAAAGAGATGTCCCCACGCCCACCCCTCCCACCCTGCCCTCCCTTTCTCATTGTTTCTTCTTGCTTTGTTTCACTAACAGAAGTAGACAGGGCCCTATACCAGGGTACCATTTTTTTTTTGTCAAGTTGGGAGTTCTGGTTTGTCTGTAAACAAACCCAACATCTCTAGAATTCTCTCTCTCTATCCCTCTCTCTTTGTGGAAGAGAACACCAAAAGGGTTTTGCAGTCTTAATTGTGTTTTACTTCTACTTTCTTTTTTGGGTTTTTGTGTCATTTATAATCGGATATTGTATATAGATATGGTCGTTCTTACTTTATGAGGAAGGAATATTTGTTTCCTCCTATGTTTTTTAACTTGTTGGTTTGTATTTGTTTTTATTTTTTTATTTATTTCCCTAACAATAAAAAAAATACTAGCTTATTTGATTATGATGTGACATAATTTGTTTATATAATAAAGTAACAGGTGTTAGAGTGTCAATGAAAGAATTTAATTATCATAATCATAATAATATTATTGAACTATATAATATTAGAATAGACTGCGTAATTCCTTTTAAGATACAGTACGACAATACATTTTATGTTTATTTTTTGATTTTCTAAAACTATTATTATCTAACAAAAACCCTTTTCTCTGTTACTTTTTTTTTGGTTGTTTTTTCAGAGTGATGGAAAGGATCAACTCGAAGCTGTACCTGGAAAACTGTTACATAATGCAAGAGAATGAGAGGCTGAGGAAGAAAGCAGAGCTTCTGAACCAAGAGAATCAAGCACTTCTCACTGAGCTGAAGCAGAGACTCTCTCAGACTCAGGCCACTCACAACAGCAACAAAAACAGCTCAACAAACAAACAAGGCCCAAACTCCATTCCTGATCTCAATCTCTGTTCTACATCCTCCAACACCAATGCTTCCAAATCTACCAAGAAGAAATGATCAATGTGGCTGAAAGGATATCATGGGCCCCACCTAGGACTCCTCCCCTTTGTTTTTTTTTTTTTTTTCATGTAGTACCATAGGAGTCAAATAGTATTTTAGTTGTTGCAGTTTCAGTTATATGTAGGACAATGGGCAGTATCTATGCTTCAGTGTTACTTTTTTTATATATGTTTCCATCTTTATTATATCTTCTTTTTGGTCTAGGTGGTTAGAATGGTGTATTTCTGAACTCAAAGCTGTATCAGCTTAGCTTATTTGTTGGGAAGATATATAATATCCAGTATTTTGTCTCTCTCTCTCTCTCTCACACACACACACACACACACAGAAGGTACACACAGAAACTGAATTGGGTTACCAGCCAAAACAGAACAAAGGGGAATTCAGAATTGGATGAAACACATGGTGGGTGACACTTTGAACTTGTCAACTTGGAAGTTCAATTCCAGTGACTTGAGTCATATTTAAATCACTGTCAAGTCTAAACTATGAACATAAGTTTACCATACTTGCTTTGCATCAATTCTACTCTTCAATTGATAGCATAGAACTGCAAACAAATGAAAACAGGAAACACAGAGAATAAAAAGTGCTGCTCTAACATTCACATATCCCTTTTCAAGGTGACTCTTTTAAGTTTTTCTCTGCATTAATCTGAATACATTCACATAATAAAGAACAAATGGATTTGTTTATTTTTTTGCAGGGGTTGATAAAAAGATTCCTAAAACAGAGAGTAGTAGGAGAAATGGAAGTGAAATTGTGATAATCCCGTTGAAAATAGTGGATGACTTACATTATAAGCTTACAAATTCAATAGCCAGTAGGCCAGAACCAGTTGAATGGTCGATCAAAACCCAATCCAAATTATAAAAGTGTTTAGATTTGAACACAACTCGAACTTGGTCTTCAACTCTAATCATTTGCCCGTATTTGTTCTTCTAAACTTAAATTATACAAATTTGATTCAAAATTCAAGTTCCATTCTCGAATTCAATTTCAAATACTCACACCACACAATTCAATTCCCTTGAACTTGAATTAGGCAATGCATGATGGTGGAGTGGATCCCAAAGACCCCACCAATCTTAATTTGAATTGGGTTGAAGTTTTGTTGTATAGACATAATTTTTGGATCGATCTCCTCCTTGTGCCGTCTTAAACACCAATCACTTAAGCAAGTGATATACAAGATGATCTATAAATAATATCACCGTTATAATATATATTTACTCTATAGGTTAAATTATATTTCAGTTTAAAAAAAATGGTCTTTTCAATCAGATTCTGTGTGAGAAGCAGAGAGTGACGGGAGGATCTAATCAGAGGTAACGTCACCAAAGATTTAGTAGATAAGTCAATGAAATGGATCATTGAGTTTGAAATGGGGAGGTGGGAACCCACAATATCAACTCAGGGATATGGCGACCTCATGTCGTATGCCTGTTGACCATCAAACACAAGGAGAAGTCTACCGTACTAAAAAAAAAATCGTTACCGTATCGTTATTTATAATTTTTATGAATATATATTTATAAATATTTTTATTAATTTTTAGTAATTATTTGTATTACTTTTATGTTGCATTGTGATCGAACCATAAATATTGTAAATCACTTACAAAAATAATAAATTTTTTTATCATAAAAATACCCATAAAATAATAAAAATTAAATATGTGATATCAATTTTTTTTTGGGTATTATAATCTTTTGAATCTATTACTAAAATAGTGTCATTTTCAAATACAAATATCGATCTACCTCATTTTTTAATTTATTTATTAATCTACTATAATTTTTGAAAGTAGAATCAACTATTTTGTTTTCACCAAGATAACAGAATCAACAAGATTGTTTTTAATACTTACAAAAATATTTTTTTCTCTTTTTGTTATATCACTTGTTGGAAGTAGAATTGTTGATTCCGCTTTGAAAACAGAATCAATAATTTTGCTTTTAAAAATTATAATAAATCCATAAATAAATTGAAAAGTGCAATAAAACAATATTTTGTTTAAAAACAATAGTATTTTGATAATAGATTGATGGTTTTCTCTTCAAACAAACCCTCTAAAACTGACCTACCATATTTTAAAGTTATTTATAACATTTGGGTCTTGGGATAACTATGCTAATAATTTTAAGATGAATCTCAAGAAAAATAGTAATTTTTTTTGGGTAAGTAAAAAAAAATATTTATTATAAATCAACTCAAGAACTTGTATATCAAATTACAAATCTTAATGATTTTCACATACGATACCAAAATTATTTTGTTATATTGTAGTCTTCTCCATACTTGGCATATGTTGCGCCTGCTATATATTTAGGGGTCAAACTATGTATCCAAAATTCGACAGAGAAGATTACAGTCAAAAAAAAAAATAGTATTCTACCTTTAAGATTTATAATTTTTGTGTGTATTTTTATAATTTTTAAGGATTATTTTAGTTCATATTGCAATTTTTATATTTCTAGTACAACTTTTGCGGGTAGGAATTGATCTCAATTAACCCAAAAAAGTTATAAATCACCCACAACAGTTGCAAACGATCTTTCTGTCTTTGATGTGACACAATATGTCACGCGTCCATTTCCCATTAGTTGTGTCCCCTGCCCCTCCTATCCCTTCTGACACCAATTGTGTAAGACGAGGTCATAATAGCTAACCTAGTCTAACCTAGGCTAGTGACCTGTACATCAATAGCCTCTGCAGGAGCAGAGAACGCCACCCTGGTCAGAGGTACATCTCGGACCCGGGGGGGGGAGGTTCATCTCGGACCCGAGGGGAGGTACATATAGCAACCGATGTACCCATATCAGACCGAGGGATACGTGTCGGTACGTAAACGTACTGGATGCCACTTGATCCTTATGACAAGTACCTCGGGGGAGAGGGACTTGTGAACCAATAGGTAAGTGATCTCAGTAACAAGGTTTTAGTGACACCAAGGACACGTGTCTTCATCTTGTAGTATTTCGGAAATGTCTCATCAACTGCCCCCCCAGCCTTCAATCTTCTGACGCCGAGGACACGCGTCGTAAGGAGACGAAAGATTTTACAACAACCCCAATTGCTTCATCATTGCATCTAGCCGTTTTCCCCTGCTTAGGACGTCGTGCGCATTAAATGCGTCTTTTCGTGCTTCGCGCCCAATGATGGGATTGGTACTATATATAAACGGGCTTCCTCTCCTCTTTTCTCATTTCGTCATTCCGAACTTTCTCAAGAGAGCCCTCGCCTGATTCTTCGCCGGAGATCTCTTTCCTTCCGTTGTCAACTGCCCAACCTTTTCACTGAAGTCTTAAGGCCAGCAGACCCATCGTTGCTTCTGAACATTCTGGAAGAAGTCACATCAAGTTTTCCAGAAAAAACTCCGTTTTACATTCTGGTGAGTCCTGGTATCTTTCCTTTCTTCGTCCTTCTATCCCTTTTGGTTTTTCGATAACTGGAGGTGTCTCTGGTTGCCACTTAGCGACCAATCCTCGGGAAGCTTCCTTGGGGATCTTTGAGGGTAAAACACCCTCCTTCACTTTTTTTCACTTTCTTCGAGATGCCTCGTCGTCGCCCTGCCCCCGAGAATCCTCAGGTCAGTTCTTCGGGGTCAGGGAAGTATAAAGTAAAGGGTGGTGAGCAAATTAATAGGTTTAGGGTCAAGTACAACATCCCCCCGTACGTAGACATAGAGGATTATAACCCGGCTGTGCATTCTCGTACCGTCGAGGCCGAGGATGCAATGCCTTTTTATATCAAAGCTATCATAGAGGGCGGAATTAGGTTCTTTTTGCCTCCTCTATTTCTCCAGTTCCTCTCCCATTTCCACCTCTTCCCCGGGTAGTGTTGCCTTAATGTCTTCAGGATAATTATGGGGGTCCTAGAGCTCAATAGGCGTCACGGGATAAACGTTGGGCTGAACGATATCCTTTTTTATTATTCCCTCTTGAGAGTCATGCCTCAACAACACTTCTACCTCAAAGTCAGGGACCCATCTATGTATCTCGTAACTCATCTTCCCGACTCGGACAAGGGGTACAAGGACGACCTGCTTATCTTCAAGGGATCTTGGCAGAGAAGAGTCGGTCCCGAGTATAACGGCTTGTTATGCCCTTTGGAATGGAGAACGACAAGTACGTTGGTTCCTTTGGGTCTATTATTTTGTTCTTGAGATTTTCTGTGTTCTTGACTCCTCTTTTTTGTTTGTGCAGATGTCCCTGCTCCGGAAACAGCTCCTCCCCCTCAGTCGTTGGTGAACTTTGCTGACCTAGTCACTGTCTGGAGGTTTACTGGTGACGACGAGTTTGGCCGGGCTGCCCACGTCCTCCTTTATTATACTCCCGGATATAAAAATTTTCACAGCTTCCCCAGCTTTTCGAGCCTTCGCGGTGGTCTGCACTTTTCGATCAGGCGGTGAGGCAAGAGGTCGAGGAGAACTTGGAAGAAGACCTTGACCGGGCTTCAGAGGCAGAAGTAGAGGGCGAAGTTGAAGAGCTCGGGGTCAGAGAGGACTTGGTTCCTTCGTACACCGAGGTGGGGACTTCGGAGAGAGATTCGTGGTCGGACTTCCAAATCCTACAATCTCTAGACACCGAGGATGCCCTCGAGGTAGCTATGTCCAGTACTCCCCGCATTGATCTAGGGTTCCTGAGGCAGAGGCAAGCCCTCGCTGCCGGGAGGGGACGAGGATCGACCGGTGGGGCCCCATCTGCAGGGACCAACGCCTCCCCATCCTCAAGAGTCATCAGTCGGGGGCTAGTGCGTGACCGGGATCCTCAGGTAGAGGAGGAGAGAAGGGTCAAACATAGGCACGACGGCCTTGGCAGGGGATCCAGGGCCCCCTCCGCTCAGCAACAAAGCGGGAGAGGTCGTGGGTTACCTCTCGCTCCTCAACAACAACAGCAACAACAGCAACAGCAACAGCAGCAACAACAGACTCCTCCTCCCCTTCCGCAGACAGTGGAAGCCGCGGAGTGGAATCCTCGAGCCACTGATCACAT